TAACATGATAATGTGCCTAGGCAATGATGTTTTTGCAATGAATTCCCAAGGAGTTCTTTGTGCTTCTTTGATTTGGATGTCTAGGTCTTTAGCAAGGCCGGGGAAGTTTTCCTCAATTTTTCTTCCAAATATGTTTGCCAAACTTTTAGATTTCTTTTCTTCCTCTTTCAGTCAATTATTCTTAGGTTTGGTTGTTTAACATAATCTCAGACTTCTTGGAGGCTTTGTTCATATATTTTTATTCTTTCTTGTCTTTGTTGGATTGGCTTAATTGAAAGACCTTGTCTTTGAGCTCTGAATTTTTTTCTACTTGTCTAATTCTATTGCCAAGACTTTCCAGAGCATTTTGCATTTCTATAAGTGTATCCAATGCTTCCTGAATTTTTGTTTTCCCTTTAAGCTATCTATTTTCTTGAATATTCCTCCCTTCACTTCCTGTATCGTTTTTTGGATTTCCTTCTATTGAGATTCACCTTTCTCTGGTGTCTCCCTGATTAGCTTAATAACAACCTCCTGAATTCTTTTTCAGGTAAATCAGAGATTTCTTCTTGGTGTGGATCTATTGCTGGCAAACTAGTGTGATTTTTGGGGGGGTGTTGAAGAGCTTTGTTTTGTCATATTACAAGGGTTGGTTTTCTGGATCCTTCTTTTTTGCGTAGGCTCTGTCAGACAGAAGGTCTGGTGCTGAAGGCTGTTGTTTGATTATTTTGTCCCATGGGGTGTTCCCCTGATGTAGTACTTTCCCCTTTTTCCTACAGATGTGGCTTCCTGTGAGCTGAACTGCAGCAATTATTGTCTCTCTTCTGGGTCTAGCCACTCAGCAAGTATACCCAGTTCTGGACTGACACTGGGGATTGTCTGCACAGAGTCCTGGGATGTAAACTGTCTATGGGTCTCTCAGTCACGGATACCAACGCCTGTTCCAGTGGAGGTGGTGGGGGACAGGTGCAATGGACTCCATGAGGGTGCTTAGCTTTGGTGGTTTAATGCTCTATTTTTGTGCTGGTTGGCCTTCTGCCAAGAGGCGGTGCCTTTCAGAGAACATCAACTGTAGTAGTATGGAGAGGGACTGGTGGTGGGCGGGGCCCTAGAACTCCCAAGATTATATGCCCTTTGACTTCTGCTACCATGTGGGTAGGGAAGGACCATCGGGTGAGGGGAGAGGTAGGCGTGACTGAGCTCAGAATCTCCTTGGGCATGTCTTGCTGCTGCTGCTGTGGGGGAATGGGGTGGGATTCCCAGGTCACTGGACTTGTGTACCTAGGAGGATTATGGTTGCCTCTGCTGAGTCATGTAAGTTGTCAGGGAAGTGTGGGAAAACCAGCAGTCACAGGCCTCATTCAGTTTCCATGCAAACCAAAGGGCCAGTCTCACTCCCACCATGGCACTCTCAACAGCCCTGAGTCTGTTTCCCAGAGGTGGGCAAGCCAGGCTTGAAAACTTGCCCCCAACTACCTGCCTTCCAGCTGTGAAAGAAAAGGGCTTGGTTCTTCTCCAGACTGTAGAGTCTGCACACTGGATTTGTGCCCTCCCCAAGTTCTGGGCAGGAGGTTTCTCACCCCGTTCAAATTGTTACACAGTTCAGCTAGAGATGTCCTTCTTCCTGTGGAGTTTTACCCCCTGCTTCTCTGGCCACCCTCCCAATCAGTTCCTCTGGTGCCAGGCAGGAATGGGCTGCTTGGGGACCCAGCGAGCTCCCGGGGCCTTTCTGCTGCTCCTTCTACCCCCTGTATTTCACTCGGCTCTTTAAATTGACTCAGCTCCAGGTAAGGTCGGAAACTTCTCCCGCAAACAGAACTTCAGTTTCTCCAGTGGGGGGTGTACTCGGGGGAGGAGGCTCTCCCCTTCCCACTTCTGCATTTGGGGCACTCACAGTATTTGGGGTGTCTCCCAGGTCCTGTAGTAGCAGTCTGCTTCCTTCAGAGGGTCAGTGGGGTCCTCTTAGGATTGCTGGTTGTTCCTGTATTTCTGTCTTCAGTAAATTTTCTGTATTGTTTCTCAAAGATTCCTGGTTTCCAAAATGTGAAGTTTATAATGGATAGGTATTGTGACTTCTTGGTGTGACAATATTTCCTCTTCTGATATTTCAATGATCTAGTCATAGGGTATTGTGGCTCCTTTAGCAAGATAATAATATGTTTGGTAACTGTGAAAGCCAGCTGGGTAAAGAAAGAATACTGGCACAAATTATGAGAAATCTGAATCCAAAACCACTTAAACTTCATTGGCTATGGTACCACAAAAAATGATACTAAGATGATGAATTAAAAGTGATATTTTATGTGAAAAACATTTTTTCTCAGTTGGAAGACAAACAAAATGTTTATCCTTGTATGCTATAGTATGAAGTATGGGGTTTGAGAACAACAATTTAATCAATTTGACTCAATTTCACTAAAATCCTCATATTCTGACCCTAATTATAAATTGACGGCAAATGTTCCACACACTAGTCTGCAACTAGAATAATGATGATTGTAATGATTCATCTAATTTTTTGGAGCCTTGATAAGAATCTTTATCTAGAAAGATTCTGCCAATGTTTAGTTTTCCTTGAACCTCAGAAAACAGACAGTGGTTGTTTTCAAGAGTTTCCCTATTCAAGAAGGTTAAACATCATTTCGTCAAAACCTATCTCTCTCATTCTGCAACCTAAAGATAAATGCGTAAGTACTAAGCTATTACATATAATGTATGGGTTTTGTTTTAACATACAGCACAGAGACAGAAAATTCAAAAGCTTTCCACGTCATTTATATAAATGACCAATCATCCCATTCAAAATTGTATTAAACCAATTTTGTACATATACTTCAGGCAATCAAGGTAGTTACATAGAATTAAAAAGAAACCTCTAGTATTCATGTTAATGAAATATAATGAACATCTGCACTTGGGTATTTTGTTTGATAGTCACTATTAATGCACCATCATGTCCAGATGGTTGGCATCTCTGACCATGTAACTTATAACCAGTTCTTGATGATTTGCCCTACTTTATGGCATGATGATATATATGACCTTGAGCTTCACTCCCTGAAATGTGGCCTCTGTACTTCATATCCCCCACTTCACCTATTTCCATTTCAACATCTAGCATATTTCCCTGAGGCAAAATGAAACTTGGCCATGATTCGTTGCTAAAACTAATACGTGGTGGCAGCAAAAAGTCATTAGCTGCTACAAATTTGGCGGGAGATCAGCAGTGTTGGTTATAATCCATACCTTGGTTATAGCTTGGATTCTGTTAAGAATTAGAAGAGCCAAAAGTCATCTGGAGTGGCTTGTCCCATAAACAAAAATCAGGGAGATTTGATTGGTGCAAAGTACCTTCCCATTCTAACCCTGCAGCTATTTAGAAAGCCAATTGTTCAATCTTGTATTGCCCATGACTACAGGTAGTAGGTCAAATTTAATAAGGCACCCACTTCCAATTGGTAATGCCCTCTTTATGAAGCAAAATAGTGCCATGGAAAGAACACTAGGCAGGAGGTAATAAAATCTAGGATCAGTTCCAGGCATTTCAAGTCCACAATCGGTTACTGGATGCAGACCACATGAAGATACGCTTATGTATAAAGGCAGGCTATACTAAGATATCACCTTTGACCTGAAAATGCTTACAACTTATTACTAAAAATTAATGTAGTTTTAGTTAACCTCTCAGTGCCTCAGTTTCCAATTTGAAATGGAACTAATTATATCTACCCAATATATTTCACACACATATCGTGACATTCATCAAGCTAATAAATGAGGGTGAAAAATCTGGTCTAGAGAGATTACATCCCACAACAATAAAATACCAGGTGATGTCAGTGTGTATTTTAGTCCACATATTCTTTTGATCCTCAAATTTCAGAAAAATCACAACTAAAATAGCCATTGACTGATGCTTACTACATTTTTTTACAAATAATTTCTCAGTTACATTTGTTTGCAATAAATTTATTTTCATTAAAAACTCATTAGACAACTATTATGCAAAAGTATAGTAAGGAGAAGTGGAAGGATAATATGAAAGACACAGTGAAGAGTACTGTAAAGCCAAGCTCACTTTAGAGCAGGTAGATTATTTAGGAAATATTATAAAATATTTAAAAAGGGGAAAATTAGGGGAAATTAGAGAGGAAATGAGATAAGTGAAGACAGGAATTCATTAAAAGTAACTCTTAGGGATTAAAGTACTCTAAGAACTTTATTATAATACCTATTTTTCTCCCTGAAGCATAGAGCATTAAGCCATTATCAAACACTGATGTAAGCCTGTATAAGATGAGCCAAACAGCCTTGCACAGAGGCTAACAGGAAGTGGACAGCAAACAGATTTGGCAGTGGAGAGAGATTTGGGGAGGTGGCATCTGAATGGGAAATAATCTTAGTGGAATCACTCAATAAAGGAGCTATACCATCAAAGAGCACCGTGAGAAAACTGAGACCTGGGCTATAAAATGCCAGATTTAAAGAGAAATTATCAAGAAATGGATGAGGAAACCTGTCAAGGTATTACTACTTCACTAAATTTCTTCAATGTTTAGCTTGAAAAAAAGTAGTCCTGCTCTTTAAAGTCTCCTATGCAGGATTGCAAGACTTTCTCTAAGATTTCTTGAGAAAGTGACATTCTTACGTAGCAGTTTATTTTGCACAAAGACACACTTATTTGTTTATTTAGTCATTGATTTGGCACCTTTTATTGAGTGCCTAAGATAAAGGGCTTCTGCCATGTTCTGAAGATAAAACAGGAAGTAAATAGTGAGTGAGTTCTCATGAGAGCTGGTGGTTTTATAAGGGGCGATTCCCCTCCTTTGCTCTGCACTTCTCTTTGCTGCTGCCATGTGAAGAAGGATGTGTTTGCTTCCCTTTTTGCCATTTTAAGTTTCTTGAGGCCTCACTAACCCTGTGAAAATGTAAGCCAATTAAACCTCTTTCCTTTATAAATTACCCAGTCTCGAGTATGTGTTTATTAGCAGCATGAGAATGGACTGACACAGTCATAAAACTTAGTCTTGGGCCGAAGCCAGAGTATGCAAAATATTGGCTAATGAGTTTGAACATGACAACCCTTTGAGATGAGCTTAAAGCCAGAAGATGAAGCAGGTAAGAATAAACCAAGATGCCAAAATTGGAAGTGGGGCAAACACAAATGGAATGAGGAGGTAAAAAGTCAGAGCCTGAGCAGTGCAGGAAAGAGTAATGTCTGTGGGCAATGTAGCTTGGTTCAGAACACATTTTGCGAACCCAGCTATTTGGCTGCTACATTCATTTTGCCTGTGGTTAGGTGAGTTCCAGCTAGGTCCAGACAGGACATTTACAAGGGCATGCATGGATATAGGATGGATGATTCTCTCTAGCAATCTCTGGAGATTAGCTAGAGAATAGCTAACAGCCTTAGAGCAAGAACAATGAAATCAGATAGATGGAATAACTCAGGGTTTGATATCAGCTGGAAAAGAATGTTGGAAAATCAACTAACACAATGATTCAGGCAGATAGAAAAAGTATTATTGGTAGAAGTCCACTGATAAACCAGAGAATAGGGGACTGGATAGCTTATAGAAGAGCTAAGTGGAAGAGAAGGAGTGGAAAAGATGGTTCTATCTACTGAAAAGGCAATCTCATACCTAAATATAGTTTTTCAAATCAATTCTGGAAATGGCTGACTGACATGTGACCCACAATTGAAGGCTCTGTTGTATGAGTAGTTAAAATGATGAAGAGGATGGAGAAAGAGAGAATATGATGCTAGTTCTTATGTTTTCCAGTTCATTAAAAAGGAAAAGAATATCAGGCTATGAGGAAGATGAAATTATGTGTATTTTCAAAGAGTATCAGGAAGAGTAGATAAAAAGCAGAGAGTGAAAGAGTTTTATAAATAAAACAAGAGAATTTTCCCATTTAGGTGCTTTTACATGAATGGCTGCCTTTTGTCATCAGCCCTTCAGGTACTACAAACCTGGGATGACGAGTCAGAAATTAACTTGTTTTCATAGTATTGTACTGTTTGCAACACACTTTGCTTTTTACTGTGTCGCTTTCTCAGGGTAACCCTGTGAGAGAAAAATAATGACACATCCCCCATCCCCATTTTACAGAAGCAGAAATTAGCACTAAGCAGATCCCACGAGCAGATGTATTTCTGCCTCTAAAGCCCGAGCTTCTTTCCATATGCCTCGCAGTGTGAATAAGACAAACTTCACATCTCATCTCAAGACTGGGAAAAACAGAGTCTCTGCAAGGCAGAAACATCAGCTGCTAAAGTCAGACCTATTATGAGTAAGTGGTTAGAATAATGCTTTGGTTTCTTGGTGTCCTACATGAAGAAACCTATGCTCTTGAATAAGTTATGAAACCATATTGCTACTATGAGAAATGTTGTCTTTTATCACTCAGTAATTTGTGTAAGCATAAACCTATATACTTGGCAGAATTCATAATGACTCCATATACCCACAACTAAGGCTCAATTGCTATTTATTACTTGTGAGAGATTCCTTGTTGATTTTCTATTACATCATTTAAAATATTGATCTTAAGTTATGACCCATATGATCATGGATCAAGTCTTGTGTGCTTACATACTGCAACTGAAGACACCGATCTAACAGTATTATTATATGGAATTTAAAGTATGGCAACTCCCTAAGGAAATTGGCTGAAACCAGTTGGATACACTCTGAATTATTTGTTAATTATCAATGGCTCCAAAGTGGGCCACTGTAAAAAGCTTTCTCAGTAAATTACTTTCAAAGCCTCCAGCAGTTTGTAGGCGGTATGCTTCTTTTACATTCCATACAAGGTTCTCTTTGTTTATTTGCCTGTGTGTTACACGTATCTTTGCAGTTTTCACTAATGGTTTGTATGCCGCCCTGGTTCATTGTCAGGCTACCCTGACAACTAAAATAGTCTTCCAGTCCTCTCTGATGGGGGTTGAATTTGAACTTAATATCTTTACCATCATAATAATAAATATATCCATCAGATCACTCTGGATAAGGAAGTTAAACATGTAATTCTCCAAGTCCTTATTACCCAATATCTTTCGTAAAGCTCCCAGGTCCCCGACTCACAATTACCACATCATAAGGCTGCTGCTTCCCTTCTTATCTTATTATCTTCTCTTAATATTCTAGAAATTAAGATCATATCCAGTGTGTCTGGAGGAAGGGTGACCTGGATGAGACTTCCTAAGATGTTATCTGATGCAGGCACTGAAGCTGTGATGAGAAGACTGATGAACACATAGTATTCAGAAAAAGATACTGTCTTTATTCCAGGGAGAAGATGAGATTGTGTCGATTTTTATTTCATTTTTTATTTTGACATATGCAAGGTGATATGTACTGTGTAAGTTCATTTAAGTTACAAACATGATTCTCAGAATCCACTTTTTAGCATAATTCCAAATTCCTGTGGGCTACAAGAGATACTTCAGATGACATTTGAAAAGTGGAAGAGAAGCAGCAACAGTCATACCCTTTTATACTGGGAAGGTTAATGCAATTACAGTGCAAGACATCAGGTGCCCTTGCAAATCGGGCACATTGTTTCTGATGGGCCGGCTCACCTTGTCTAAGTGGAGCAGGGCCAGCCCACAGTCACTCCAGCAACAGCTGGATCTCCTCCTTCAGCTTCTCCGAATCCTCGACCAGTGTGTGTGGCGTCTGCAGCAGCAACAGGACTTGCTCGTCCAACTCTTGTTGGGTCTCTTCCTTTATCTTCTGTGACTCTTGGGCCAGTGCTGTGTTTGGCTTCACAGGAAAGGACACCAGTTTCATATCTAGCCAGATATAGCACTGATGTTGGGAGTTGGAGCTGACAAGAGACCTACATGTGTTCCAGCTCACTCTTGTGTGTTCCAATGTGTCCTGTTCTTTCCCCCTTCACCATCTTTCCTTCCCAATGGCCTGACTTCCTGACTTCTGTCTCAGTGTCAAATGTAGAAAAAAGCAGGTTTATATAGTTTAACCAACTCTTACGAATGTGTAAGTTGGAATCCCTATAGTCAATCCCCTAGTCATTATCATTCCTAGGAGCTGTCTCTCTGATTCAAACTTGTCTAGTAAAATATGTATATCTATTATAATCAGAGGGATACTATTTAATAACTTTTTCTAACAACTATTTCATGTAATCCTTTGAAATTTGGAGTGATAAAGGAGAAAATTCTACATTTAATGCTTTAGGTTAATATTTTGTCAATTTCTATTTTTTCAAATGATTTTATTTTAAATAGTTTTCTATGGGTAAAATGTAAATAATATTAAATTATTAGAAACTTAAGATTCCCTCCAATAGATTATTCTGAAAGCCACATTCATGCTGAAATTAATTCAGTCATAACAGACCAATGTTCTTAATTAGGACATGGATGAGTTTTGTAATCCTAACCATTGGAACCATTTTCTAATTTTGACATCATAAAGAATTCTTCTCCCACTTGAGAAAATAAGAGAATTCATGAAAATTATTTCAAGACCTGGATATTGTCTTCACAGTGAAGACATTTAACTGTAAGTATGTGAAACCAGCAAATGAGATAATAAAATTACTTATGAATATGAATGTATTCCCCTAGTATATTTCTCTATACAAGCTATTGATCTAATTTATATCACCTCTAATCCTCTTTCACTTTTCTCTACCTCACAGAGAGAAGAATGTGCTGCTGTAAAGTCATAGAGGGGTACATTCATAATTGCCAAATACATACAAGTATAAAACACAGAGCTAAAAGTATAATGTGCTCCATAGTTCTCTAGCTTTGTTTCTCTAGTTTTGTGTATTACTCATATGTGTTGAAGCAATGGTAGCTCCAGGCCACTTGACAATTCAAGTGTGGATGAAGTACAATTGCTGAAGCTGAAGAAGATACAAGGATGAGAAAAGACCAAGCTCCTGCCTGCAATTCAGTAAAATGTATAAGAAGAATGTCAGCCTGTGTCAAGGCTTCAGACGAAAGAACTTACTCTAAAGAAGGCAATGGGAAGGGTAGGTGATGTTGCTGTTTTGTGCCTGTAAAAGAACAAAAGGATGAGAAAAGAACTGATATTGAAGCGAAGAGTCCACAAGATAGACAAAAGGTTCTATGGTAACATTACTACCTCTGGAGTCCACAAAAGCTGTGTGAATTTCCCATAAAACCCCCAACTAAAGCTGATATGTAATCTTTAATAAAGCCCCCATTTGTGGCAAATATTGTTTGCAAGTGGATTCTACAGGAGAAAAACTATTTCCCATTAGATTACATAAAGCCTATGTAACTTGCTGGGCATGGGGGCTCACACCTGTAATCCCACCAGTTTGGGAGGCCAAAGTGGGGACTGCTTGAGGCCAGTTAGCCAGGAGTGATGGCACATGCCTGTAATCCCAGCTACTTGGGAGGCTGAGGCACGAGAATTGCTTGAACCTGTGAGGCAGAGGTTGCTGTGATCATGCCACTACGTTCCAGCCTGGGCAACAGAGGGAGACTGTCTCAAAAGAGAAAAAAAAAGAAAAGAAAAAATGGCTATGTAACTCTATTCCAAGTAAGTGTAATTTTTTAAGATAAAGAGGTTCTATGTAATGTCTGGTTAAAAAATTAGATTCATAGATGGATTAGCATAAATACCCCAGTGATCACAATATGAGACAGACTATAAACCTTTGTACAAAGATGAAATTATTTCAATAGAGAGATGAAGAAAAACATTTGCAAAAACCTGGTTATTTATGAGTCTTGAAAGGTGAAGGAGATTTCAAAATGTAAAAATGGAATTACAGATATTGGCAACAGAAGGAGAAAGGTACCAAACTAGGAGAACTCAGGGTCTGTTAAATGAATAAATGGAAGCATCTGAAGTATGACATTCACATATGGGGGAAAAATAAGAGCTTGGGAAGTAGGTTGTAGCACATTTTGGACTAGAGAGCCCTAAAAGCCAAGCAGATTTTTTTTTTTTGCCTTACTTAATTGAAATAATGACCCCAAGAAGGTGTCTTCATAAGACAGTGCTATGGAGATAACTGTTAATTCAGAAGGTTAATTCAGTGGCAGGTTATAGGCTGAACCAAGGACAATAAAGCTGAGAGCTGCAGACACCAGTTCAAAAAGAATATGGCAGACTATAAATAATAAGGGCCTAGAAATTCAGCTTAGGAATTAAGTCCAACTATTTTATTACAAAAAGATGGACTGGAAAGAGAAATAATAAATGCAGCTGTAGGCACATGTTCATTCATTTTCATGAAATAGTAGATAAGGCCTTTTTTTGAGAAAAATGGACGGATGGTTAGATTATAATTTTAAGAAAGTAGAAAAGGGTAATGCCTCAATTATTTTTGGTAGTATTGTCCATCACTCTCGTAATTCCATTAGCTGTCCAGTCCGTGCTCCTTGATACAACTTCTTCAGTCCAAATCATTCTGTTGGAACTGCCCAACTATTGCCCTAAATAGCCTGCTTGGCCACATTTGATTAGCCCAGAACTGAGCACTGGACTCAAGGGTAACCAATGAGAGTGTTCACTAGAATTTCTGGACCTGTGCTGTAGAAGTCAGTCTCTCTCCAGTAACCCGGGTTTCAGGATGGAAACCCAAGTGCCAGGTCTTACTGTCCTTCCATTGTGGTTCCCATGTGTTCCCTCCCATATGGAACACAGAGCAGACACGATCTGCACAGAAAAAACTAAAGTTTGAAATAGATTCCTAAAGAAAATAATAAACACAAAGTGGAGGAAGGTGGAATTTAGTCTCCTGGTTCCAGTTGTTACTGAGGATCAGTCCTCTTCCCATCCTTCGATTCATGAGACATCCCAGAAAAATTTTAATATATTCCTTTTATAGATTTTTGCTTAAGCAGATTCAAATTGCTTTTCTGACACTTGCAATAGAAAGGTTATGATAAAAACTGTGCGTCTCTGTGGAGAATTAACAACAGTGCTCACTAGGGAGGTACCCAAGCATTCCCCAAAACCATTATGGCATCCAAATGAAGTTTGGGGAAATAAATGGTAAAAGTGGTCATCTGCTGGGTGTATGAATTTCTGAAGAAGCCTTCAGTAGTGCAGAGATGGATGAAGAGGAGGTAGGCTATTTAACTGATTAAAAATTATGGTTTTAATTGTAAAGAAATACAAACTATGGGCAAAGAATGTGAACGTTTGCAAAACTGACAACAGTGTGCTTGAAGCTCAGGGTGAAGAGAGTCTCAAAGGCAATCATATAATCCATTTGCAATATCTGCACTGACCAGAAGAATCAGAGGCACAACATAATTTCTACATTCCCTTCTTCCTCTTTAGGATCTAAATTTAGACTCCATCATTCTTTTAGGAAAACCAAATTAATGTAACTGCCCGAATCAAGATGATGGTAAATGAACTGATATAAAATCACCAAACAAAACTAAAAGATGTTTTGTTTGTTTTAATAGAAAACCAGATGCCCAGGAGACCAAATAAGGTAGTATATACCACAAGAATAAGAAACAAGAAGAAAGAGACACACAGAAGAAATACAAATTATGATCTTATTGCAGTAAAAATACCAAAATTAGGCTAAAAAAGATGAGTGCATATCACTGTAAAATAACATGGTGACTAAACTTCGCCATTTTCGAGTTTCCATTTGTATACTTGGCTGCTCTTGGAATAAGATTTTAAAGTGGGAAATTATCACTGTTGGTGCCCCACTCAAACCCCCTCACACTTACTTTAATGCCTGTTCTTTGGATTTCCAACTGGCTACACCTGCATTTTGTTGCCTATGTGTTTTTCTCTGGCTACCAAAGCCACTGAATCCTAGAATGTCTAAGAATTACCACGCCTTGAGAATATTCCTCAACCAATGACTAAGGGAGTCTGTTGTGTGAATGTCCCAGCTTGCTCTCCCCACCTAGGGGGTATTTTTGAAGCACACCCAGATTTCCTCTGTGAGAACAAAATCTAACTATTTTCAGTAGCAACCTGCTTACTAATGAGTTTCTTATTGGTTGCCTTTCCTTTTCTACTACACTTTCCCGTTCCCCTACTGGCATTTTCTGAAATTAACTGTCAAATAAGTAACTTGAACTTGAATATTTGTCTCAGCATTTGATTCTGAGGAAACACAAACCACCAAAAAGAAATGGAGTATAGTCAGGAGAATAGTGTTACGTTATCATTCTGGGACCTCTTTTCTGAGAGTTCAAGATTTAGAGAGTTTTATTTCTTGGGCGAAGAGAAGTGGCAATTCTTTAATTTTGTGTGGTACAGAGATGTGTAAGAGCTTTGAGATATCACTTAAGGATATATAAAATTAAACAGAATGTGAAAAGGGCTAAAAGTTGATATTAAGAAATAATTTTTTAAATCTATAAATACAGGTTTCTGATAATTGAAGTGAGACTACCTGTATGTTAAATTAAAGGCTACTGTGGTATGTTAAGGCTAAAATATTGTTTAACAGCTATCAACAGTAAAATATTATATCTTTGGATTCTATTATTTGTAACTAGTCAAGACATAGCTGAGAAAATATACTAGAGTAATATAAGTTGCTGTAATAACTGCTACTATTGAAAGGTTTATCCTAATTAGAATTTAATTTTACTCTTTTAACTTCGCTCTCCAATGCAGATGGTACAAGTGCAGTTCAGCGGAAGAATCTACCCACATAATCAGTCAGGAACTCAGCTTCTAAGGCTTCTAAGGTCCTCGGAGGGGTGTTCCCTAATCTAATCATCCAGAAGAGAAAAAAGGCAAAAGGAGTGCCTCATGGAAGGGCCTTACGGGCAAGCCTGGAAGAGGAGCTCATTTTTCTCTCCTTTCATCGATTACAATACAGCTGTACTTAACTACAAGTGGGGCTGGGAAAGATTCCCACTGGGATACTAGGCAGGTATTTTTCAGTGATACCTCTCCACTTGAAAGAGAGAATACTGATTTTGGGGAAATAAATAGCCATCACTTCCACAACAGATATTTCTGTGCCTTTTGCAAAATGAATATACTAAGCAAGTTAATAATATTAAGAAATTATAATTGAAAGTAAATTAAATCATATTCAAGAATTGGAGAAAGATGTATGCACATAGCAATTCATATACTTATTAAGAAATCATTGGCTGGGTGCAGTGGCTCATGCCTGTAATCCCAGCACTTCAGGAGGCTGAGGCAGGTGGATCATGTGAGGTCAACCTGGTGACCTCAGTTCAAGACCAACCTGGCCAACATGGTGAAACCCCATCTCTACGAAAAATAAAAAATAAAAAAAATTAGCCAGGCATGGTGGCGGGTGCCTGTAATCCCAGCTACTCAGGAGGCTGAAGAAGGAGAATCGCTTGAACCCAGGAGGCAGAGGTTTCAGTGAGCCAAGAATGCACCATTGCACTCCAGCCTGGGCAACAGGAGTGAAACTCCATCTAAAAAAAAAAAGTATTACCTAGTTATAAAAATGTATTTGTAACTTCTGCCAAAAGCATATTTAAGAATTCAATTATCTGTCCAGGCGCGGTGGTTCATGCCTGTAATCCCAGCACTTTGGGAGGCCAAGGCGGGTGAATCACAACGTCAGGAGATAGAGACCATCCTGGCTAACACGGTGAAACCCCATCTCTGCTAAAAAAAAAATAAAAAAAATTAAAAAAAAAAAATTAGCTGGGCGTGGTGGCAGGCGCCTGTAGTCCCAGCGACTCAGGAGCCTGAGGCAGGAGAATGGCATGAACCCGGGAGGCAGAGCTTGCAGTGAGCCGAGATTATGCGACTGCACTCCAGTCTGGGTGACAGAGCGAGACTCCATATCAAAATAATAATAATAATAATAATTCAATTTTCTGAAATAAAATTGAAATAAAAAGTCTAATGCTTCAATCCTTTTAAAAATCTATAATTAAGATATATCATTAATTATCCCCCATGCCACTTAACTAAACTCAAATACTTTATGTGCAGTGACATCTGAATAATAACTGTTACCTCACCACTGTCACATATTTGTATATTCTTTGAGGGCAATATTAAAACCATTGCACAGATACCTTTTTCTACACAAAACTG